GTTAAGGGAGGTGGCGAAAATAATGATTCGTAATTTGTTGGTGTATAATCGGCTTGACTAGTTGGCTCGTCTTGTTTTGATACTGACTCTTCTGGTATAGAACCTAAAAATTATTTCATTTAGAATAATATGTACTAGTTTAAATTGTCAAAGAGCTGTACAGAGCTCTAGCCGATCCTTCCATCGAATAGAGAACTCACAATGTTCAATCAAAATATGTTTAATTATCGAGCCTTCGCTCTGATTATCAGATATATTAAGCTTTGATTGTCCGAAAATCTCTAAAATGGCCAAAAAATTGTCATAAATGTTAAAAATCATAAGTTAAATTAATTATATTATATTAAACATACTTTCAGGCCATGGATTCGGAATGTAATCTTCATGGAAAGTAGGTTGTTGTTGATTATGATAGGGATGACTGCCAAAAATCTCAGCCAATCCGAAAAAACCTGTTTGTTGCTCTCCATGCGGACTAGGCATTCCTGTACTTGTAGTAGCGTCTGGATTGCTTGTTCCTGTTCCTGTCCCAGTGTCACTTCCTGAAACACTTCGGCGCTTAGTTGGATCGAAATCCTCTTTTGCACTATCCCTCGTGTGTTTTGGAAAGGAAACAATGGTTGTTATAAATAAAGGGATTAAATAAATAATTAAGAGCTTCATAGCTCTCCTGGAAATTAATAATTCTTGTTATTTAAACTTTCATTAGTTAAATATTATATTTATTAAAAAGTAATTAATAAACTTTATTAGCAAATATTCATATTTTTATGGCTAGGTTGGGACGCTTATATATATATGTATGTATATTTATTTAATAAATTTTTAAATGAATTTCCTTGAAATAAATTATTGGATTTTTCTTTTTTGACGGAAGCTGACTGAGTGAAGGTAAGGAGGCAGGGAGGGTAGGAGGGACGGGAAGGCAAAGAAAATTATTGAATTTTTCTTTTGTATTTGACGGAAGTTGACTGAGTGAAGTTAAGGAGGGCGAGGGATGGAAAAAGGAAGGGGGAGGTGAAGGGAAGGGAGCGAGGACGGGAGGGAGAGGAGGGAGGGAGGGAGGGCAAAGGAGAGAGCGTGGGAGGACGGGAGGGAGGGAGGGAGAAGGAGGACAAAGGGAGAGTGTGGGAGGAAGATAGCGAGGGAGAACGGGAGGGATGTGAAGGGAGGGGAGGGAAGAGACTTTCACCATTTAGAAATGCTGTAAAGAAGGAAAAAAATTTTCTATTAGCTAACTGTCATGAATGTAGAATAGCAATAATCAATGCCTTCTCGATTGATTTTCAAAAATTAAAATTTGAAGTGATAATAAAGTGTTGTAATAGGCGAGAGAAGGAGATGGTGAGAGAAGGAGAATAGGCGAGAGAAAGAGATTGGAGTGCCCGTTTGGGAATAAGTTGGGAATATTTATTTATTATTCTGTAAAAAAATAATTAAATATAATTTGTTTAATCAGCTAAAACTTAGATACCCGGAGGTACCAGTCATAATAAAAAATATGCGACAAGGCGACTATAAATTTAAAAATAAGAAAAAAATCGAGGCTTGAGGTCGTTTTGGCGCAAAACTAAAAACTGGTACTTAGGCGAACCCAAATTCTTAAAAATTTTCTCAAATTTCTTTAAAATCCTTGACATATACCGTATTTATTCTAATTAAATGGCACCTCCATTTGAATGGCACCTCCAATTGAATGACACATTTTTGAATGAATGAAAAATAGAATGGCAGCCTCTATTTGAATGGCACCTCTAATAGAATGGCCATTTTAACTATTAACTACCTAACTCTTATTTTCTTTATTTCCTTTATTAACTAGTTTAATATTCCTTTTTATATGAATAATTCCGATATTTTTGAGCAAGTCTAGGGTCAAAAAAGTGGTGCTTGAGAGGGATATTAAGGGATTTGAGAGGATAATGGGGGATATAGTGAAATTTAAAAAATTCGGCGAAGATATCGAGGGATTAAAATAAAATAATTATGGGGTGATATCTATTAGATGTCCGAGACAGAAAATTTTTCAAGACCAAGACCTGACCCCAGACTCAAGACCAAGACTTGTCTCTGAGTCTCAAGACTAATAATTAACAATTATCAAGACAATTTTTCGTCCATAGAACAAATTTTTTGGTGATTCGTCTTATCAGTCGTATAATCGAGTGATTAGGAAGGATTGGTGAAGATGTAAATGGTTTTGGAAGGAATATTTCCTTAATTATGTACCTATTAATTATGTATCTGGTACCTGCTATTTTTAAGTAAAAGTCAATGTAGATGCTTGAAAGTAATCCCCCCTCAAATCCCTCAAAACTAACAAATCCAGATCCCTATATCCCGCCAAATCACCCAACATCCTCCTCAAAATTAAAATAAAATAATTATGGGGATAACCCTCAAATCCATCAATATCCCTCCAAATGTCTCTTGATCCCATTATATCACACCCAGATTCCATGATTTAATAATCAATCAGGACCCAACTGTGCAGGAAATTTTGATTGTTTGCACCGAGCTTAATCAAAATTTGACTCTTTAGCCCCGAGATAAAAAATTTTTGAATCATATAGTGATACGTAGAGGAAAATTCACTACTAAAATACTAAACTATCGAATTTTCCACCAAAAAAGGTGGGTAGAATTGCCAATTTTCCTAATCCTCGTCCCAATATAAACAATCCCAATCTAAATTTCTGACCTATGAAAAATAGAATGGCAGCCTCTATTTGAATGGCACCTCCAATTGAATGACAATTTTTTGGGGTATTGAAAAATAGAATGGCTGCCATTCAATTAGAATAAATACGGTATATATGTATGTATATTTATTTAATAAATTTTTAAATGAATTTCCTTGAAATAAATTATTGGATTTTTCTTTTTTGACGGAAGCTGACTGAGTGAAGGTAAGGAGGGAGGGAGGGTAGGAGGGACGGGAAGGCAAAGAAAATTATTGAATTTTTCTTTATTTGACTGAAGTTGACTGAGTGAAGTTAAGGAGGGCGAGGGATGGAAAAAGGAAGGGGGAGGTGAAGGGAAGGGAGCGAGGACGGGAGGGAGAGGAGGGAGGGAGGGAGGGCAAAGGAGAGAGCGTGGGAGGACGGGAGGGAGGGAGAAGGAGGACAAAGGGAGAGTGTGGGAGGAAGATAGCGAGGGAGAACGGGAGGGATGTGAAGGGAGGGGAGGGAAGAGACTTTCACCATTTAGAAATGCTGTAAAGAAGGAAAAAAATTTTCTATTAGCTAACTGTCATGAATGTAGAATAGCAATAATCAATGCCTTCTCGATTGATTTTCAAAAATTAAAATTTGAAGTGATAGTAAAGTGTTGTAATAGGCGAGAGAAGGAGATGACGAGAGAAGAAGAATAGGCGAGAGAAAGAGATGGAGTGCCCGTTTGGGAATAAGTTGGGAATATTTATTTATTATTCTGTAAAAGTTTTCAATATAATTCTTTAAGGATTGTAAAGTTCGCTGGAATTCGAACTATTTAATGATCAGGTCACGATTCAATAATAGAAGAGCATTGCCATATATTAAAAGAAAATGTCTTCCCAACATTTATGGAAGGTGGAAGGGATTTAATGAATGAATTCAAGTGACCTACATACGCATTAAATATTTCGAATTCCCGCGAACTTCAGGATCCTTAAAGAAAGTATATTCTAAACTAGAGGTCAGCACGGGACAGGATCCCGTACGGGATTTACGGGATCCTGTCCCGAAATCCCGTATTTTTAGTGACGAACGGGATTTACGGGATTAATCCCGCGGGATCCTGTCCCGTAAAATTTTTTACGGGATCCCGTAAATGCGATTTTACCGAACTCTATTCTAAACTAAACGTTAAACAGTGAATTGCATTAAAAGTTCCCTCAGGGCCCTATTTCAATTGTCCACAGATTCTGCGGTCTGCGTTCTGTGCACAGACCACAGAACCACAGAAATTCTGTTTCAATTATTCCACGGATTCTGCGGAAAAAGGAGTCCGCAGATTCTGTGGAAACATGCACAGATTCTGTGGAAACATCCACAGATTCTGCAAAACATCCAAAAACATGCAAAAACCACAGAATTCTATTTCAATTATTTTTCTGTGCACAGAAAAAAATCCACAGATCTGTGGCTTTTTTAGTCGATTCTGTGCATTTCTGTTTCAATTATTTCTGTGGTCTGCGGAAAATACACAGAATTCATTAAAAAATCCACCCTAAAATTTTTTCTGCGAATTTTCTGTGGAAAAACTTTAAAAATTTTTTTCTAGGCCTAGGCTTAACCAAATTTTAAAATTTTTAGATAACATTGAAGCTTGATTCATTCTCTATTTTTTGATATAAAAATTATAATTTTATTACTTAAAATTATTGCTTAAAATTAATTTTGAAAAAGGTACATCATTTTTTGTAATATTTTTTACTAAAATAAAAAAATTTAAGGAAAATGTTCTTCGATTTTGAAATATTTTACGATGGAGAAGACGAGCAAACGATTAAGCAGAACAAAATTTATAGGCCTAGAAAATATTTTGAAGAAGAAAATTTTAGAGAAAGATTCAGGCTTGATAGAGAACAATTTGAAGATTTTTTAAGTCAAATTTCAGCTTCATTAAAGCCAATTAATTCAACAAATCACGCAATGTCAGCTAAAGATAAACTTTTAACTGCACTTAGATTTTATGCAACTGGAAGTATATATGCTGTTATTGGTGATTCACATGGACCATCCAAATCATCAGTATGTAGATCCATAAGACAAGTTACAAGAGCAATAAATTTATACATGTTTCAAAGAAATGTTGGATATCCTGACAATTTTGGTAGTAAATTTAATAGTTTGCAAATTATTTAAAATTTAGCCAATACAACAACTGGTTTTTATGAAAAAGGAAAAATACCATCAATTTTTGGTTGTATAGATGGAACATTAATAAAAATATTAGCCCCTTCAAAATATGAGGAACAGTTTGTGGATCGTAAGAATGAACATTCTATTAACGTAATGCTTGTTTGTGGCCCAACTTTGAAATTTTATGATGCATCCGTTCGGTGGCCCGGGTCTACTCATGATTCCAGAGTTTTTAAAAACTCTCGCCTTTTCGAAAGATTATCAAGTGGTTGGAGGCCTTTTCATGGAGCATTTCTGTTAGGGGATTCTGGTATTTTAATTCTAAATGAGATATTAATATCCCTTTTTATTTTTAGGTTACCCCCTTCGTGATTACATTCTTACACCAATTCCTAATCCACGGAGCGCTGCTGAAGAAAAATTTAATCGCTCTCACAAAAAAACAAGAAGATTAATTGAATGTGCAATTGGAATTTTAAAAGAATCTTTTCGGTAACCTTATTTTAAATAATTTATTTAATTTTTTAAGATGTCTAAAAAAATTACAAGTAAAGGACCCTTCTTTTGCCTGTGAGATAATTAAAGCTTGTCTAGTAATACACAATTTTCGGACAAATGAAGAACCATTTGAAACGCCAACAAACGAAGAAGAGGATGATCAAATACCAATTGAAGAAACTCAAGATGATTTAGAAGGAAGAGAAAAAGGACTTGAAAAATTGAATCAAATTGTCGCAATATTTAATTAAGTTTTTCAAAAAATCAAAAAACAAACAAAATTTTGAAAAATCGAATAAATTTTGATAAATAAATTAAAGTTTAAAATATGTAGGCTCATCATAAATATTTGAAGGTTTTGATTTTTCTTCCAATTGAGCAATTTCAAGTTGAAGTTTTCTCTCCTTCAATTTTGCAACACGAGTCAAAACTTCCAAATATTCTTCTTTTTTCTTTTTATAAGTGTCAGTCTCATCTAAATTTAAAAGTTGAGAATATATAATTTTAGAATTTGTTTACCTTCAAACATTGCCTTTCTTTTGATGGATAATTTTGGAGTCAAAGTTGAAATATCATCAATAATTAAATCTTCATTTTCATCTTTTTTTTTATTATAAAACTCAAATTCATCAGTATTACTGCAATTGGCATCAGGTATTGTTAATCCAGCAACCACAGGAGAATCGACTCCAAGAATATCACCCATTATCATATCTAATTCATTTAAGCGAGTTTCACCACCGCTGCCAGTTGCTTTGTTTCTGTCAATTTTTGTCTAAAATATATATTTAAAAGATTTATTAAAGATAACAGCAAACTTTATACTCCTTAACAAGAGACGGCCATTTTGTGCCGCTCAGCCATTTGGCTTCGCGCCCTTTAGTCCACTCAGCACCCTTTGATTCACAAATTCTGAAAATTTTTTCCCAAGCATTCCTTTTTTCCTCATAAGTAATCTTGGTTGAAAATTTGCTAGATATTGTGGAGTAATTTTCTTTAATTAATAACAGCAATTCCTTCTTTTCTTGATTTTTTTTATCAGTCATTTCTAAAATTTATTTTAAAAATTAAATTAAAGATAAATAAAGGCTAATATAAACTGTTATTTTCAAAAACGCGGAAATAAAAAATTTGAATTTAGAAGGAAAAATACACAGAACCACAGAAAAATAATTGAAATAGAAATTCTGTGGATCAGTGGAAAAAATCCACAGATTTTTATATTTTCCACAGAAATTTTCATCCACAGAATCTGCGGAATGTTTCCACAGAATCAGTAGATGTTTCCGCAGAATCTGCGGGCACCACAGATTCTGTGCACACAGAATTTAATTGAAACAGAATTTCCACAGAATCTGTGTTCTGTGCACAGAATGCAGAATCTGCGGACAATTGAAATAGGCCCCTGGAAGATACAAAATTCGTCGTAATTCTTTAAATTTTTCTCTTGCAATGTTTAAATTTTTTTATTTTGTTTTTTCTTGTTTTGCGGCACTCGAGGGCGTCAACGGTTGCTGGGGTCTACTACAAAAACCTATCCCTTTTTCCATTTTCAGACTTGATTTGGCGACCTAACCCCGTATCTCTCAAAAATCTGTTGGACTCTAAACTTTTCATTGGACTCATAAGGTTTCATCAACTCGTAAAGTTCGATTAGACTCATAAAGTCAAGTAGACTCCACTTATCTGCCTTACGACAAAAGTCACAAAACCTTTAAAACAGGAAAACTTGCTATTCCGGATAGAGAAGTAATGAAAAACACGCTACTAGTTTTACATAGAGTCGAATGAATGAGAATATTCTCTATATATGAAGTTAGACAAATGTTAAATTCCCTCGACTTCTTACGAATCCATCTCCCTCTCCTCCATCTCCCTCTCCTCTTATCTCCTCGCTCTCCTCCTCTCCACCCACCCACCCACCTCCCTCCCTCCTCCTCTCCACTCCCCCCCCCCCCCCCCACCATGTTAAATAATGTTGTCAATCAATTAATTTAACTCAATAAAAATTTAAAGAATCAATAGATTTTTCAAAATGTCAATTTCCGATTTTTAAATTTATTTGTTCGAGAGCTCTTGTTTTGCAAAGAAATAAATTCATAGAAAAACAGAAGGTAGTTGAGGAAATTGAAGGGAATTTCAGCTGAAATTTGTGATTTTTTAAATATATTCCTCGGAGTCCGTTGGAAATACATAAATCATGTTTAGATCCCCGATATCTAATTAATCCCTCGATATCTCTCCAAATCCCTCGATGTCTATCCGATGCCTCTCCAAATTCCACAAACTAAATTATGTTTCAGGATGAAAAAAAGAGTGGCAGCTCCAATGATGTGGGCAGTGAGTGATATAGACGGTCTCAAATTCTTTTTGTGCCGAATTAGAGCTGCCTTTTGAGAGGGGATTGAAAAATGAGCTCTGGATGTTCAATTAGAAAAAAGACGTTTTTTGTTTATTTAAATAATATTTTGGTGCCTAGTGATTTAGGCAACGGTCATTTGGGCAGTGAGTGATCTGGGCATCTCAAATTTCCTTAATGTACTTAATTAACTCCTCCAGAATTTTTAAATTTACACTTTAGTGCTCAAAAGATTAAAAGTATAATAAAGCTGAATTTATCAAACAAATTTTAGAATAAAAAATTAGACGTATCATTAATTTTGAAGTTAATTCTTGTTTAAAACTTCTGCAATCCTTTCTTTCCTCTTGTAATCTTCATTGTTTTCCACATATTCAATCTTTTCGTTTAGCTTTCCCTTTACCTTTTGGGTCGTTGTTTTGAGTTGATTGTTGATTTTGCTCGGTTGAATCAAACCCTAAGCTTATAAATTAGTTTTAATATGCGACACATAAAGCCGTTGATATAAATGCTACTTGAAAGAAGATAGAAAATAAGGGTTTTTCTTTTGCATGGGGAGATTAAAAGAGATATAGAGGGATTTGCGAGATTGAGGGGGATATAGAGGGTTTGGGAGATTAAAAGAGATATAGAGGAATTTGTGAGATTAATATAGATATCGGGGAACTCGACGGGATTAAGGGGATATATTAACCTTTGACGGATTGCTACTGATTGATTTTCTGGACATGGATATGTGGCCCGCCTGAATAACTTTAAACCTCAGATAATCTACCTAAAATTTGAAAAGCCCGTTGAGGTTGATTTTGAATATCATTCAGCGAAGCCTGAATAGCCTGATTAATATAATGTTGCTCTTCTGGTGTTACTTAATGAAATTTATTTTTTTGAGTAATGAAAATGAATGAAATTTTTTTTAAAAAGTATTTCTTAGTGTAATATGAAATTAAAAGTCCTATGAAATTAAGGAAGCTGGCCAATACATAGCGATCCCAATGTACCGCCAAGGTATAACTTAGTTCAAAATATTCAAATCCGGACGTTAGATCACCTCGACGAAATTAGTCGAAAACTCGCACACCCAAGCAGGGGAGTTGACAAGAGGTAATTAAGTATGCCTCCTCATTTCCTAAGTCATAAGCTCACCCGTTTCTTGATAACTTCCTTGCATATAACGTTGATTTGCTTTAGCATAACTTTTACTTCCTTTAGAATAAGTCTGACTTGCTTGAGCATAGGTTTGACTTCCTGACTCATAAGGCTGATTTCCTGACTCATAAACATGACTTTCTTGAGCATAAGTTTGACCTGCTTGAGCACCTTAATTTTTATAAAGTTGAATACATCTTAAATTCAAAGCATTTTTACTTTGATGTTCAGCGATTATATGTTTATCAATGCCATGCTCGTCATGAACAATGAACTAAAATTTGCCAACATATTAATTAGAAATCGGCCTGTGATTTGGATCTAGAGCTCACTTAAATTATAGTTCAAGGATCAAGGTCAAGATTTTTTGACTTGAATAAATCCATTTATTTGAGATCCCGGACTCGAAGAAAACTGACACACTCTTCGAGCCCGAATTGAGCCCTAGATTCGAAGTAAAATTTGAACTTATATCCAATTACTAGGGTGCTTTCAAAGGCATTTTTGTGTGAGAATATGTCTTGACGTGAGAAGGTCAAAAATGGTGATTTTACAGTGGACCGAGCACTTTAGGACTCGGTTATTAATGTGTATTTTTGAATATTTTGTATATTTCGGCAATTTTGACAAGTATAATTATTTTATAAATTTAAAATACTAGCTAATTTTACTAGACATACTTGTTTACCACACAAATTACAAAGACAGACATCTGCAGTTCTATGAGACTTTATGATGCGGATTTTATTTGAATAGCCTAGATCATTTATCTTTTGTGATATTCGTGATATTCTTTCCTTTTTTGTGACCTTTGACTTTTCTGTAAATATTAATTAAATATAGTAGGAGTTTATCGAAAGTTTAGCGAAAGTTTCGAAAGTTTTACTTCAAAAATTGTTAGCTTACCAGTTGAAGGCTCAGAGATAATAGGTTGTTTCCTTTCTTTTGTTTGAGTTTTACTACTGGTTTCTTTCTCTAAAAAGATATTTAAAATGAATCTTAAAATGGAGAAAAATCTTATTTCCCATTCGATTGGGGTTGTTTGTTAGCTTTCGCATTGCCGGTCCACTAAAATACATTTTTTGGACGAAGTTTAGGTAAGACGGATTTTGTCTGAATTTTGGAATTGAAGGTTTGCCCCTCACGCGTTGTCCCCGGCTCAATTAACAATGTTCTATGGTGAGAACTGCCCTCATCTTTAAAATTAATCTTCAGGACCTAAAAATATTTTTACCTTTAGGATTAATATTATGATATTTTAATGCTTCTAGATGATTTTTTGATTGAATATGCTCATCAATTGCTTTATCATCTTTTATACGAAACTAAAAAATAAATTTATGTATTACTTTAAAATTTCTATTTTTTGGTCGTTGTGTGACCCTGGTTCCTACAGTAACATAAAACTTTGGTTTTTTTGAGTTGGTAATATGTGTTGCATTTAAAAAGCTTACCCCAAAGTCCGAACCATTATAGTCTTTACACAACTGACAGCGCCCTAATATTTGTTTGAATGTAGGCTTGTCAATTCTAATTTGACTTGGAGTATAACCAAGTTCTTTTACCCTTTCTTCTGCTCTTTCTTTCTGTGTACCAAGTTTCTTTGGCTTTTTATCTTTGATAAAGAAGGAGATTTGATAAACTTAATTTTATTAGAAAAGTTTACCTTTTGGATCAGCTTGATCGGCTTGTTTTGGTATTGACTCTTCTTTGTCAATATCTAAATAGTTTTAGA